CAAAAATAATTTTTTTTATTTAAATTTAAGTCCCAAAAATTGTTAAAATGTCATTTTTCTCAATTTTGACATTTTTCTTCAAATTATAAACCCATGATGGTTAAATTCATTTAAATAAAAAGTTTTATATTTAAAACACTAAAACTTTGTGTTTTATATAAATTGGGTATAAATTGGAGCATTTGACACTATATAGGACGTTTCAGATAGTTACGGGTCAGAATCGGACTTTCTAAGCAACTACCGGAAACTCTAGAAAATTTTCGGCCAATCTAATCTAACTAACTCCTAATCTTATAAATTATCTTTAATAACACTAATATAAACTTAATAAGAGCTAACCTGGAAGCTCAAATTTGACAGTTGTCACAATCACTCCAGGTCTATAGTTTAATGAGTTAACAAGCTCAACTACTCTAAGTCTATTGCTTGTGGAGCCACCAAGTTCAACCACACTAGGTCTATACCTTGAGATCTCCAAAATGCAAGTTAAGCTCGTTTATTTAGAAATTACATTATATTGGTCAATGGACGATGTTCGACTCCAAGAGCCCATACCATATTGCCTATGTAGACCCAATGTCTATTTCAAGTTACAAATAGGGAATATCATCCTATACACATCAAATAAAACCGATTTCTATGCCTATGGATCCGTTACATATAGTCCAAGCATATTGTTACTTAAAAGAACTAACTATGATCAAACACATAGTTTTCCCCAACACCAATATCAACAATAAACCATTAAACTCAAGATTCAATAAAAAAAAGGCTTGAATTTCTTGACCTCAAACCCATATCAAAACCAAGCAATATAACCGATGGTTTCAAAACCCCAAACATTTCATCTCCCATGTACTAGTGTCCTTTCTTTCCAAAAAGTGACCATTTTCAGTGAAACACCTTGAAGTATGTGAAAATCAAAGATAAACATAGATCACGAAGTTTAAGTCTTATAATAACATTTATGTACTTAGAACATGCATTTATAACACATACTTGAAGATTTCATCATTTAATAACAAAAGGGTAAAACCCCCTAAATCTAGTAAAATACTCAAAATTGGTCAAAATCCACAAATATGTAAGATACATTAAGATTTAAGAGTAATGTTTTAGGAGACTAAAATGAAGCACGTTTGACATGTATAAAAGTTTAAAAAAGTTGGAACTAACTAAAAATGGGTTTTTGAGAAAATCCTAAAATATGGTCAACAATGGTGAGAATTAGGGTGGGGAAGATAAAGATTCTTGAGCTTCAAATTCAAGACTTGAATCTCTACTTCCAATCTCTTAAAGACTCTTAAATGCTTCAAAATGGAGGAACAAATAACCTAGGACCAAAATAAATGTCGGAGGAACAAGGTTGGTGAAGGAATAAATGAAGGAAGGGGGAAAAATCTCGGATTTAAGGGGTCCAACCACATCCTAGCCCATTTCTGCCCACATTTTGTGAAGGGCTCGTGACCAGGCAATAATTTTCCTTCCAGCAATGCAACTTTTGAGAAATTCTTGATTTTTCGTCAAATGTGATACACATATGAACCGATACTAACAACACTTCAATAAAACTGTTTTAAGGCTAAAATGTATCTAAAACTTGAAACTATAGATACCAAAAATCCAGATGTTACACTCGCCGCAACAGCCGCCATGGCGCGTCATGTCTCAATTCTTGTGTCTCATGCCACATTAAGCCTATGGTATGCCATAGCCTAATGTTTAGCTTTTGTAATGGCTCACAGGATTGAGGTTTAGTCTCCCCACAAGTCTTTGGTACTTGTTGGCATCTACACGAACCTCTCAATCGTTCTTTTCAAGTTTCAAGTTTTGCTCAATTGGAAAAGAGCATGGTCGGCACCCTAGCATCCCACTGTCTTCTAAAACGTCTAGGGTGTATTTTCTTTGGGATCGAAATTTCCAAGTTGGTCTCTATTGTTAAGAATGTAAGAAGTACAATCAAATATGTGAAGAAAGCTAAGAGAAAGCTTTATGCTATGGAAGAGTTCGTAAGCTATCTTCTTGAATCTCTTATTGATCATCGACCGATTCTGAGTAAAACAAGCAGTGCTGATAGCTTCAGCCAATTATTGAGTAGGGAGATGAGATTCGCTAACCATTGATTGAGCGGGCTCAATGATTATTCGATATCTTCTTTCAGCAACTTCGTTCTGTTGTGGAGTTCTCATAGTTGAGAAGTTGTGTGAGATTCCCTTGTTCACTAAGAAGTCATCAATGGTACTATTTTTTAATTCAGTCCCATGATCACTCCTGATACTCATTAACAATGACAAATATATATTTCTTTCCAGCAATACATCTTAGAAGAAGACCCAAGTGTACCTGGAATACTCATTAACAATGACAAGTATATATTTTTTTTTCCAGTAATAGATTGCACATTGACTAGACCAAATAAATCCATGTGCAAAAGATGAAGAGGAGAAGTCACTGAAGAGACTTGCTTAGATTTGAAGCTAGCATTTTTCTGCTTTCCTTTTTCACACGCTGAGCAAAAAGATTCCTATGCAAAGGAGTGTTGAGAAAGGCTAGTGACAAGATCCTTTCAGGACAACTCATTTAGTGTCTTGAAGTTGACATAAGGTCGTTTATGCCATAGACAGTTGATATATGGAGAGGCTTTGGAGAGAAAACAACTATTCTAGTGAAGGGAGAATCCATGTTGATGACATACACATTGTCTAGATGAGAACCTGTAAGAGCAAGCTTGTCATCTTTGTCAAAAAACATAACATGAGCTCTTAGAAAATTTCGCTATGAAATCTTTATCACAAAGTTGACTAATGCTAAGAAGATTATGCTTCAGTCCTTCAACATATGCAACATGTTTGAAAGTCATTGGTTAATATACCAAAGCCCTTGGTATATCCTTTTCTGTTTCCTCCAAATGTCATAGAACGACCTCTTTCAACCTTGTATTCATTTAGCAGGGAATTGTCTCCAATCATATGTCTTGAGCATCCACTATAGAGATACCAAATGCCTTTGAATTCCTGAGTAGGAGTACATGACGAGGGATCACTGGAGGATGATGTCTCTGATGGTTCATCTTTGACATCCTTAGCCATTAGACAAAGATAGGTCGTATCTTCCTCATCAGAGGATGATCTTCATAAGAATCAGTCCAGTCATGTTTCTCAGCGACAATACCTTTGCCTTTATGTTGAAAGTTCTTCATCTTCTTATACTTCTTCTTCAGCTTCAGATATTTATCATCTTTAGATCTGAAGGAGGATGGGGGTTTAGAAGATGGCATCACAGTTTTCTTAGACCTGCATTCACAAGCAAAATGA